CCCAATTCTAGTCCCAAACCTGCCACTGACTCACTCTGTGACCTTGATTCGTTGTATGACCTTAATTCTGATTTGCTGATCTGTAAGCTAAATACCTGCTGTACAGCTGTAGCATCAGAACTCATTCATTAAATGTCTGTAAAAAGTGAAGCGTGATGCAGCACTATGACCATTAAAGTGTATAAATATGGCTGATCTTCCCTGTTCTTTTAAATGTTCTTTCAGGGATTTTTTAAATTACTTCTTTCAACTGGTCTGTGCGTTACTTTTTTGTTAAATGTAGCTACTACGGCAATGAAATAGGGAGCAGAGATTGACAAAGTGCAGACTAGGCAAAATATGCATGATGTGATTTAATATGAGTTGATAGGTGTCACTGATCTCTATTATAAATAGACTGTGTGAATTCCATATGATGTATTATTTATCTATTGTAGATGCCTTTTTGTTTCATTAATAAACCTGGAAATCAGACGTATACATTTCCAACGATGAAGTTTTGGCAATACAAGGCATTCTGGCATTTGTCTGCAATTGCTCAATTATTTTGATGATTTTCTTCTTCTTTCTATATAAATGATTAATGCTTGAGATGTTTGTTCAAGATTCTCCTGATTTTAGCTCATTTGTCCAGCTGAATTCTTTTTTTCTCCTCTAAGTAGAGATTACTGCAGTGTTAAGGACCTCCACTTTGACTTGAATTCTAGCTCCTTTGAGATCTTGCTCACAACCACAGGTCCTCTGACTTAGGTTTTTATTCGACTGTGAGGTCTGGAAGCTCTAGCAAATCTCACATTAACAATGTGTTTTCAGTTTAAACCTGCTTCAAAGCAGAAACTCTTGTGCTGTTGTTCTACCTACTGTTTCCCTGGTATTTCTGTATTTGAGAAAGTTAAGAAAATACATTGCCGCTTACTTAAGATAGGAAAAGACTTGATTTTTTCAACTTTCTGAAGAGAACAGTAAGCAGCAGCTAGTGCCTTCCATTTACTCTTGCTGAAGATGCTCAAGCAAAGATATCCTTGAAGACATTAAAGAGTTTAACAGAAAAAGCAAATCTGGGGGTTGTTCCAGGAGCCGCACAGTCACCCCCATGTCCTCTGAGATGGGTGAGGACGATGGGGGTCACTGAAGGAGGGCAATGGGGCCGTGAGTTCAGACAACATGAGCCTAGAGGAGTCAGAGGTGCTCAACTCCCATGAGAAACCAACCTGCCTAACTAGAACGCCTCCATCAGTAATCTAAAATTTGTCTGCCTTCTGCATTTGATCTCCTTATTTTCTTCTTATATGCCTTTTTAATGCTGTTTGTAGCCATTTCAATTATGTGATTTCCTTATCTGTATACCATGGAGAATTCTGTACAAGACTTTATAAACAGCTGCTAAGTTTATCTGCCTGTCATTTGGTTTTCATTATGCGAGATAACAATCTTTCTCATATCTTATAAGAAGATATAATGTGATTGTTTCTGAACGGGGAGGGGGAAAAAAGTCTAGTCTGCATTATCCTTAGCCTCGTAGTATTTGTAACGTCAGTAGTGTCAGCACAATCTCCAACATTTTTCCTTGCTGTGGTCCAGGAAGAATTCTCTCTCTTGTTTATTGTGTTTGCTCCTATCTCCTCTTCTTTTTCTCCATTTTAGACACAGTGAGTTTCTTATCTGGAGTGTGGTTATGTGGCCACAGATTTACCTATATTCAGTCTGATCATTCCTAACCGCTTCGTGGGGCTCATGCACTGAAGGGAAGGATGAGAGGCAATTGTCAACAGTTCGCTGTATTAAATATGGATAGATATTATTCATGTAATTTGACAGTTCTTGACTTTCAGCTGTATAATGACAGTGAAACGGTAGGAATTTCAGCAGCCGAACTTCTGTCTTACTTCAAGATAAGCTTATCAACTGTAGCCTGAATCCATTCAACTCATAAGCAGATCAAAACTCATGTCATGCTGAACTGCTGTGCTGATTCCTGCTTCCTACTATTGCTTTACACGTCCATATGGTCTTAGTTGTTTGCCATCTTACAGTTATTTTGCAAGGTTTTGAGGAGACAGACTGTCTCTTGTATTTGTTCAGCACCTTGTACGGTGAAGCCACGGATCCTGCCTGATGCCACCAAATGCTCCTGGAACATAAATAACATGTAAAGAAGTGATAATAGCCGATGGTCAGCCCTGGTATTTTTTTTCTCTCTTCATCAGTTACGCGCTTGATCTGCGAAGAGTAGCTGCTTTGTTTGGCTTCTCATCTAACATGAAGAATCGCTCTGTGCTATTTATCGCAGAGATTCAGAGGGATCTCCGAACAATATGCAGGAATCATGTACATCGTTCGGGTATATCACTCACACGGCAGCATGGTGTGGCAGCTGCAGACTAAACAATGTCTTTAGGTTAAGGATTGATCAAGTGTCTGTGGAATTTCCATGCTCCCTGACGTGCCTTCCAGATTACAACACTTTCCAAACTGGTGGGATTTGGTGTCAGGGAGAGAACAGTGGTTTTGGAGCAAACTTTTGGCAGTTGAATGTTCTTTTTTTTTTTTTAAGAAAAAAAAAACCAAACACCCAGAATTGTGAAAGCAAATGTGAAATCTCTCTTTAGTCATCTCATTCATTTTCTTCTCTGCCAGTTCACTGGATTTTGATCTTACAGGGGCTGTAGACTCCTCCGGGCTAGGAGTGTCTTTCTGTTCCTGCCTGTACAATGAAGAGCATAAGAACATATAAAAATGTACAAATGTTGCTACTGGCTGTGGCCACAGGCTGGTGTCCTGTCTTCAGCTCGACCTTGTCCACTCGCCGTTGTGTCCAGTATCCCCCCTCTAGTTGACAAATACAGGACACTAGTCAGTCACTACCAACTTCCCCAGAATATTTTCAAATAATTTATGTTTATGAAATCACTGTTGATATGTTTTTCTTCTCTGAATTTGGTCGCTTTTTGAGTACACTTTTGAGCAGCAGTAAACAAAAATGATGGTTATCAGAACAACGGAACATACAGGAGTTTTGAAATTTCTTAACAATAGGAAACCCTTTGCTATTTGACTTTTCACTGTAATATGTTGGTAGAAATATGACTTCAGGTTTCAGAATTAAATGCATGCCTCAGTCGTTTAGATTATGCATTCATAATTATATTTACAATTAGAAATAATGCAATCGGGAATAATTATTTTTTTATTGGCCGAGTGCACAAAATGAGTTGGGGAGAAAATGTAGTTTTAAGCCATGCCTTCTTCCCCACAATTTTGGATCATTTAAGCTTCATCTCTGACATGCATTAGGAAAATATAGGCTAATGAAGTCCATATGGGGCAGAACTACAGCTAAAGATTGCCGAGTCCCTCACCAGATTCCCTTTTGCACAGCAAAGCCTCAAATGCTGCGGACGCAGTAACAGGATACAAAATCACCGCGGTGACACTGTGCAGTCACACCGTGCAACCGTTTCCTGTAAATATTTTAATTCCTTTATAACAGAAAATTGAAGCTTTAAATGGAAAGCGGATGGGGAGAGGGCGCACGGCATCATGTAATTGAGAATTCCCGTGCCCTGCTAGGCAGGGTTAATGGGCATTGCCCTGCAGTAAACCGGCTCCTGTGAATCCTTGAAATGTCAACGTGGCACAAAACAAGCCTATGAACCGGGTCCTTCTGGTGCTAAATGGAGGCTGCAGGGCAGCTCCGAACCCAAATGCATAATTTGTAGAGAGAGGATGTCATTTATGATTGCTTACCTCTCATTAAAACTAATCAGAATGGCTTTCTGGGAAAAATTGATTTTTAATCAGAAAAGTTAAATCTGTGAACGTGTTTTTTTTCCTTGAAATGTGGGAAACATTTCGCTGGGAACTGATGGAGAACATCCTTGTTTGCTGATAGTTTCGAAAGCACTGAATGAGCTTTTTTTCCTTCAGTCTTTGGCCAATATTAGCAATGAAAAATATTTGTTAACATGCTTTGTAGTGATTTTTGTCAGAAAAGTCATTTTCCATCAAAAACAAATTTCAAGAGATGTTTTCACTTGCCAGATTGAGAAGCACATTGATGCTGGGCTGCAAACAGGAGGGCAGATTCTTACAGTGGGCTTCCACACTTCTCCTGCTACTTTTCAACAGGACTGTCACTACCAGCACAAGGTGCAGCAATGTCAGTTTTAATTAAAACCTTTTGTTTTACCCACTGCACGGAACAGCTGCAGCATAAACTGAGAAGCAAAGACTCCACAACATGTACAAGTTCAGGTTTTGTTGAACATAAATAGGAGACAGTACTAATGTGAACCCCACACGAAGCTGGTTTCGCCCCGTAAATTCTAGAAAATGTTGATCGCTTCTCCCTGAAATGTTCCACATAAACTTTTGCAGATTTTCAAAGACTGTCAGCTAGAAAAATTTGCAAGTTTTTTTTTTTTTCCTCAAAAAGTAAAAGGCAACCAACTATTTAATGCATGGATGTATGTGTGAGTGGCTTATAAATCACTGCTAGATACCATTAAATAAGCTGCCCCCAGAATTTGCTGAATTTAATTCAGTAACAGTTATAAATTTAAGCTTGCTCCCTGGGCTTTCCAAAGAAAACAATACTTTTTATAGGGTGGATACTAGCTTTTTACTGTTACTAACCATGGTCAAACTTTGAAACTGTTTAAGATGAAGGGGCTTTAGGTAACAAACAGTTGTAGGTATGAAGTTCTTTTCGAATTTCAGTGTGACTGAAGGATTTGGTAATACAGAATGTTAAACATCATAAATAGACGGTAACTCCCCCTCTGTCCCTAAGCCTCAGGGCTGCCCCATGTGCCGCTGCTCACCCCTGCCTTACGATTTCACCTGATGCTCTGACTCGGTTGCCACCGCTCTTTTAGGATGCTCAGCCTGGTATGCTGAAGCCCTCAGGGTAGTTCTCCAACTCTCTGCAGCAGTCACAAGAACAACTTGGGGTAAAAGCCAAGCCTGGGCAGAGAGGCTGACACAAGGACGTACGCCTCATGCTGACCCAGGACAAACCTCGCCTGGAACTGAACGCCCATTTGAGCGTGGAGAGAATGAGCTGGATGAGCAGCTGTGGTCCTGAAGGAGGTAAGTTATCTGCTTCCCCAGCAGTTAAAATGGGGCTGGAAGTGGGTACCACAAACCTGGGGTGGGCCCTAATCTCCCTGAGAACCCATTATTAAGTAATTACTACAGGATATCATAAGCTGATGTGTCTGATAGTCCCTGTTCTATAAATCTGAGCCGCGGCTGTGAGGGTGTAAGCAGGAACGCACTTCGAAAGCAGGATGAGAGGAAAGGCTGCCATGGAGCAGCCGGCCCGGCCTCACCACAGCCCCCTTCCACCCAAAACCAGCCCAGTCAGCAAAGATGATTTACACGAATGAGTTAACTGAAACAGAGCAGGGAGCGTTAGGAGGACTGCCCTGCGGCAAGGTGGAAATGCCCCTCGTGGGGAGCGGTGATGAGGACCTGAAAACAGCAACATCTTCTCTGGGCAGTGGGGCTGAAGGAGGACACGTCTCCACCTCGCTCCTGCGCTAAGTCCCCTTTGCTTCGGTCTCCCCTTGCATGCAAAACGCAGGTAAACATATTCATCTCCAAGGAGGGGGAGACTGTTAATTAGATAATGACAGCCAGGTCATTTTAACTTGAAAAACTGCAAAGTCTGATGTGCAATGTGCTTTTATTTCTTTGCTTCTTTTCCACAGATTTTTTTTTTCTTTGTGAGCATTTACAGAGATATCCTTGCAAGATGTGCATCTCATTTTCACGAGAATGTTATGAAAACCCCAGGGAACAGCAACTATATTACCTGAAGTTATCTTTATATCATAAGATATAGGTAGCAACTAGTCAAGAGACACAAAGGACCTTTGGAATTTAAACTTGTTAGGTGTTCTGCTTAATATAGCTGAGCAAGAATTTATGCTGGCATTGAAGTTTTCAGAGCTAGGCTATGCTATTTAAAATGGAATTTCACACTAATGAGCCTAAAATAAAATAATGTGTGGAAGGAGATTTCAAAGTATACTCAATTGTATCAGGCGTTCCATATAAACAGAAAAAAAATTACAAATACAACCAAATAGCACCCTCTTCTGGACACGAACACCCATGCAAAACGCTTTTTCAAAAATACAGATTTTTGCAGCAAGTCATAAGAGCTATGCTGGTCCTACAGGAGAATGGGAGAGAAGGTAAGATGCTGTAGATAATGTTTCCCATTCTGTTTTCCAAGAAAAACATAGAATATATTACTCTACTTTTATTTTTCTGTATTTTTATATTAAATCATGAAAAATTATCAGAAACAGAGACCAAATTTGCTCCAAAAGTAGATGCTAGTTATGAAAGGTTCATTTTCATCACAGTTTTATCATTACTCTAAGACCTTGCAGGTAGGTCACTCAACAGATCTGAGTGAATTTTTTTTTTTTTCTCCAATAGATATTTCTTTTTTGTCTATTTCCAAGCTCATCATAAAGAGATAATTTTTCCCCATTATATATTTTCAGAAAATAGTTTGTGGAGCTACATTTTATTCTGTAGTTATTTATGAGCAAATGTATTTTACGTATTTGATATTCTGCCTTCTTCAGGAAGATGCTCTTATGTTTCTGTTTCTTGACTTAATAATTTAATTCTTAAATTGAAGTTCCCAATGCAAATTTAAAATTTGCTTTCAATGAATATGCTGCCACATTCTCTGAAACTCGTGAAGCCTGATAATAGATGAATGAATTTGTTCCAGGATTCCTGGAAAGCAAACACACATGACCATGGGGAATATTGCCATGACAAAGATTTAATTGTAAAATGAAAATGAGTAGCAGTTGAAGTTCAGATAGTATTTCCCTAGCTGTGATTTCTGCATGCAGATGTTATTCTAAATGAACTTAAGATGTTACCCCCTCATGTTTGTTACCCTTTCCATGATCCTTTCAGTGACTGAAAAAATAAAGTACCAACATCTTGTGACACAAACATGCAGCTAAAGCCTTCTTCCAGAAGGATTATAATTTATTATTTTTTTGTGCAGTGGGCAGTAGTGAGTTCAAGAATAGTAGTGTTAAGCTGTGGTGCAAAAACAAAATACTTATTATTATTATTTTACATTAGGACTGACCAAGCTAAATACTTTGATAATTAGAGATTAGTAGAATTTTCTAGTTGGAATACCCTTCAATGCTTCGTAAAATAGCAGTATGTTTATACAGTTCAAATGCAGAGTTCTTTGCACACTATTTCTGACAAAAATAGATTTGGAGTCATACTTTTTTTCTGTCTCATGGCGGAGTTAACATTTGCACACAATGGAAGTGTCTCAAAGACTTTGTTTACCATTCTAACAATATCAAATGTCATCTACAATAGCATAAAAAGAAACTCAACTGTTGCTCACTTTGAATAACCCCACTAAACTCAGAATAGGACTTTTCTTGTAAGAAAGACTTGCAGTTGTCAGGAGCTCTACAGCTCCAATACCCAGGACATGATATTTAATAAATGATGTATAATTACACAATACAAAAGGAATTTTCTTTCTTTTATCTGCCATCAGCTAATGTAGCTGAAGAAATCTTTTAAATTAAAAGTTGGAGAAGCTTAATCTCTAATAGCCAAGATATAAGCAGAAGTCCTTCTTAGCATCATTGGACAAAAAAAATTCCTTTCATGGAGCTTTGCATAAACCATGGTTGTGTCAAGAAGAAATTCCGTAAAGGCGTTCTTGTGGCTAAAGGATAGGCATTGCTTGTACTGAAATTCTGCAGTCTTTTCTATAAGCACAGATTCCATGAAAGATTGTAAGATTTATAGGGAAAAACTGAAGGAAGAAGATTATTTTTTGTAAGCTTTGGAGTGTATGAATTAATAAATTCTAGTTGTCCTGGCTCTTAGGAATTCCATTCTGTCTAAATTTCAGGTTTGTTTTCTACTTTCCCTCCCTGGTAGAGCTGAACCTGGGAATAGCATCACTCAATGGCTCGTTAGTTTGATAAAGTGGCATAAGTGACTATAGCTACAATGGGTACTTCTAGCTCAGAAGCATTTATAGGTCTCAAGAGAATTCTGAAAAACACCAGAAAGTCTTTAGGTACTGAATCACAGGCAAGTATTTTGAATCTTTAATTTTTTTTATATATTCTTTTCTATGAGAATGTCAGAACTAAAATATGGAATATGCTTTTCCCACTTGGTTTCTATTACTTGTAAAGCATTCAAAAGCTTCTAGAATAAAATTACCTCTATGCCCTGCTAGGGAGCAGGCAAAACTCCACTGAGTATCAAGGGAGTCCCTCTGCTGGTGTTGCTTTTCATCTTTAACCCAAATATAATAATAAAAATGACTAAATATTAGACCAGAGCTGTACAATCTTAGATCCAGCATTTATTTGTTATCATGTTTATCCCAGTGGAGTTTTACCGTACTTTTATATTTATACAAAATATGTTGAAATATTAACTACAAACTAGATTAATGAAACACAAATTAACTAGTTTATTTTCGGGTGTGACATATTCATCATCATAATAATGTAAGTTTGTTTTAAAAGTTTGTTCAGATTATGATAGCAGCAAATTTGCATTTAGGAAAAAAAGAATCGAAATGGAAATGCAAAGAGATGAGAGGTGTAGGAAGGATGGGAAGGTATGGCAGAGAAACAGTTTGCAAAGAAAAATGTGAATTGCAGGTAATAAAAAAAAAAATACAAAGCTTCAAAAAAATCCAACAATCTCGGAATAGTTTAGGGAGTCAGCAAAAATCTTAAGTCCATAGAACTCTCGGGGGGTGGGGAGGGGCATAAAACATTTTCTTGAGGATAATCAGAGCCCGGTATCAGAACAGCCTTTTCATACAGAAACCCCCACAGCGCTGCAGCCTGCCTGTGCTCCAGCTGCGGCAGTGCCAGAACCGGAGCGCTCGGGTACGCGGCTGCTGATGCCACTGGTCACTTGTTCTCGCGCGCGGCCGCACCTCCATCCGCGTACACGGGAACTGGGCACGGCGACTGCGCCAACCACGGCTGCCAGGGACCCCGCACAGGACAATTTATGCTGAGAAGCAACTGCAGATAATCAGAAATTCCCTGAGAAACGGAATTCAATCTTGAAACAATATAGCTAACTTTTCTAATCATAACCGTGTATTTTCCATGGTGCGAAAGACAATGAAGCGTAGTTGCATAGTTAACCCCATAAAACCCTGAAAATTTCCCATGTGGATTTAGGTCGGCTTTCTCACAATGAATAACTAGACATCTCAACATAAAAATACATTTGTTTTGTTACTGTATACATTTAAGGTTTAATCACAGTTGTCAATGTGCTATTTCAGTGAATAATATTTTTGTGTTGAGTTATTTTACAGTTCATAAAGCAGTAAGAAATATCTTAAGGTACTAACTGATTATTTAGACTTTATTTATTGTAGAGAAAAGCAATGACGTTGAAAATATTGTATAAATAGCAAATACATTAAACAGCAAAATCTCTACCTTGCATTATGAATTGAAATGACATTATTTTAAAACATTTGAAGAACATCATCATAATTATATGTTATCAACACAGAGACAGATTACCTATTATTTTAACATAATTAATTTGAGCTCAGTGCATTTGTGTTGCTGTGTATGTCATCATCCATCAATATAATTATGAAATGCTAAAAATTGGGGTTTGAATCTTCAAGTTATTTTAATTGGCTGTGTTTTTTCTCTATATCCACCATTCATTTGTCTCCATCTTCAACATCTGAAATTGTTAATTACAATTTACATTTCTCTTTTGTCTGTCCCCTAGGCCACATTCCAATCTCACTTGTGATGTTTTCGCACCAGGTCCTTCAAGAATGATAAGCTTTCCCTCTTCGGTGACCACAAGCTTATAACTAAGTTTATATTCTTTTCATGAGATGCTGTTGAGTTTTTTTCACATCTTATTGGTATGTTCTGTTCATTTATACATTTATACCTCTGGTTTCTATCTTTTTTTTTTCTCTTTTAAACCTACTGTCCTCCGCCTATTGTGAAAGGCAAACAAAACAATAAATGGTACAATATTTTAAAGGGCTCTTTCTATGTCAGTGTTTGTTCTCCTGTCTAGCTCAACTGGTAACTCTCTTCCCAGTACTTCAATAGGTTTGCGTTGGGTTTTTTTTGTCTCTGCTTGCAAGGTAGGATACATTGCCCCTGTGTGATCTCAGATGACGGGGGGGTGGATGGAAGCTCTGTATGAAGGTAAAAGTCTACGTGTTTCTTGTCGTACATAAATGTCCATCTCCGGGAAAGCACTGAGGCCACAGCTGTCCAACACAGTGCCCGGGAACGCCTGTCTCCGAGGCTCTGATGAGGCCTGACTTTTTTATGCCTCTGATTTTTTTTCTTTCTCTCTCATGATTGACATTTGTCTTTTCTGGGCCTTGTTTGCTTGCACTGCACTTGTAGGGAGCCTGAAGCACAGCAGTATTTTCATTTCAGTCAGGTTAAGGGTGACGAAGATTACACATGCATACTGATTTATGCCTTAAAGGCTGGAAATAGTGTCAAGTGTGATCTCAGCAGAGCTCTGCTCGATGACTCAAGTGCTCGGTACGGTGTTATACTCTCAGACATCAATCCTCACCCAGTGAGGATGTGTCCAGAGCATCGTTCAATAAAGTCCTGATCTGTAAGTGTTATTAGTTATTAATAAGATAATAATGATGTTTTTAATGCTCACGCCAAAGTCAGAATCGAGCCTTTATCAGGCTAAGTACTGTTGAAACACAAAGCAGCCAGCAGTGCCAGCCTCAAAGAGCTTTCACTGTAAATGTGCGCTTGATAACCAGTATCTCTGCAAGCCACGTTACGCACACACTTGTGGGCTTCCGAGAACATTTCACTACAAAGCTCTTATGCAAAGAGGTGATATAACTCTAAGTCAAATGTTTTTAAAGACGGGTCCTTACATTATTGTATTTGGAAGCTTCTAAATAGCAGTGGATCTAAAGGTGGCCGTTATCCCAAAGACATGAGCCGTTTTTTAAAATGTTTTGAGCACTGTATTATGTTGAAGTCAGTGCCTATTGATTGTTTTTTCTTCTTCTAACCAGATATGTAAAACAAAAGCAAAACAAAACCCAGAGAGATTAATTTGACAGTTAATATTCCCTTAAGATATAAAAGGCCAAGGACTTGAACTACAGGCACCTGCATTGCAAGCGACTGGTTTGTCTTGTGCTGATGCCTTTCTCTCTCTGGCTTTAACCACGCACAGCTGCCCGCACCTGAAAAACTCTTCCCAGCACAGACATTCTCAAAATTCATATGTCCCTATAAAAGTATTACTTTGGCCACACCACCTCTTCCCCCAATGAAAAAAGCCTGAGGGTTCCTCGCCGAGCTATATTTGCAGCATGCTGGGAAATAGCAGAGATGGGAAGAACAACAGAAGAGCAGTCCAAAACTGAGCACTTTCCTTCCAATTGCCTTCAGCCCTTGCCAGCACAGGGAACTAAGCAGTTCGGTTTGCTACTGACCAAGCGCTTTTTGCAAGACAGTTGGAAGGAATGATGGAAGGGGGTGGAGGGAATTCCTCTTTCAGATGCCAGTTGCAGCAGTACAGTTAGCTCTGAATCTTCTCCCTGTAAGTTAATTTAACACATTTCATTAATAGTCTCCAATTGAATAATGTAGCAAATGTTTCTAGAAGAGCTGGTAACACGCCAGACACGAAACCATTCACACCTGACTCAGTAGTGCAACCTCAGACCATCCCTGTATCAATTGTTACCCTGACACCTAGTCTGAAAGAGCAAGCACATCAGTGAGTGCGGCTGCAATGCTCTTTCCTTGCGGTGTTTATTTTGGCCATCAGAACAAGGGCACATAGCCTGCCCAGCTGTCATTACAGGTCCTTCGATAAGTGAAAATTCACTTTCAACAAAACACAGTCTCTATTATTTTCTAATCAAGTCAAGCAGGCTTCTATTCTAATGAAAATGCATTAAACCACAGGAAAAATAGATTAAGTTACGTTATACTCCAAAGTACACCTGTGACTGCAACTATAATTGGTGGATAGACAGACAAGCAAACTCTTGTCAGCTTTGGAAATGGGTCATACTGTTCTGGAAAAAACAGCAAAATGAACTGAACTCAGCTTTCAGTTCTACAGTTCTATCTATACTCTGGAAAAATACATTCAGGCTGATTACTCTAAGATTTAATTTCTTTTGGATATGGTCCTAAAACAGACTCATCAGCACTAACTGTATTCCTATTTCTGCTCTATGCTTTATAGGTACTGGCTGTGTAACCATGCTAACATAAAACCATCTACATTTCCAGAATCAAAGTAAATTCCTTAATTTTTATTGGGGGGGATTTGAATAAATTTTGAAACTCCTAGTAATTTTCCACATTCAAAACGCATCATCTGGAGTTTATTTGGTTTCCTTCTTTGTTAGTATTTTAACATGTTTAAATAAAATTTTTAATCTAAAATTGGATTAAAATATACCTGACGTCTTAAAGTGAGACAAATTTGATCCTTGCAACCAGCACTATGATGTGCTATCGAACAGTTAGCAGGTTTCAAAGGCCGGAACTAGGATTATCACCTTTTGTGTCTTATCTTGGCCCCCTAACAATCCCATGTCTGTGCTATATTGTTTTGGCAAAATGGGTCAACGGAAATGTCAAGCGGACACCACTTTCCCAGGAATATAAAACTTCAAGTGTAATATGAACTGGCATCTGAAATTCTGGGTATGTTTAGTGCATACACAAACTATCCCGCATTTATTAATGAATACACAGCTACATGCACACAGTTATAAAACCATTCAGCAACAAAATCAGACTCACAAGAAGAAAACAGAATTAATAGTTTGTTTTCCCATTCATGTTCGTCCACATTGTATGATCTTCAGCTATCCATGTTAGTCCATCCTGCTCCCCCTGCAGCCGTTTTACCCCTCTATCACCAGGTGTTTTCCTCCCCAGTGCTGTGCACTCACAGCAACACAGAAGAACACTCTGTGCACACAGAACACAGAAGAAATACTGGTCCCTAACACAAGTCTGAAGGCAGCAGGAGCCTGAAGTGGATGCAAAGTACACATAGATGGAACGTGTCTGTCAGAGACTTCAGCTGCAAAACACTGAGTCCTTACTGATCACATGGAAATGAAGCTTTTTGTGTCTTGCAGCTCGGTGAAATTCAAGTAGTAAAGGCATCTGCCTGAAGCAAAGGCCATCTGACTTTTCTGACTTTCCATTTTCTGCTCAGTGTATGTATAATGCTGTGGGTCTTCCCTGAGTAGCTGCATTTTTAATGTAGGGCAAAGCAACATAACGTTCAGTGAGCTGGCACTCAAAAACAGCTGAGCTAGTCTGTTGCTGCAAAGCACTAAATGCACTTGGCACAAAAAATGTCCATCCCCCCTCAAAAAAGGTGTTATCTTATAGGAAAGAGCCTTCTCCAACCCTAAGCATGAGGAACACCACCTGCCAGTAATGCACATCCAGAAACCCACTCCAACAAGAGAGAGGCTTTCCAGTAAGTTCAGCGGGTATCAGATTCTTGTTTGGCACTGATCTTTGAGATTTGGAGTAAGCATAACTGAAAAAAAGAGGTTGAGGGCTTGTGGAAAACAAACGTTCTATAAGACGAGAGGTCTTGAAAAGCGAGGTTGGGAAACAGAGCCGGAAGATCAGAGGGGTCTTCTGGCAATTATGCCCATGCAACCAGTTTGGTTCTCTGCACTTATTGGTGTTATGCTAGCAATAAAAGGCATTTTGCACAAACACCAGTAACACGACTCAAAAGGCCAAAGCGTAAGGCTGGGTTTTCACTGCTTCTACTACCCCATGATTCAGCTTTTCACTGCTTCCACTACCCCAAGATTCAGCCCCGCTGTCTGCCCTAATTCGTTGCCAAACTCCCCCAAACGCTACTAGGCGAAGTAAAGCTCTAAGATAAGCCGAAGGCCTGTGGGGGAGGCAGGGCTGAAGCACCTGAGGCCCCAGCCCCACCACCATGGCCACGGCAGGGCCCCAGCGGCGGGCCCGAGCAGCCACCCGCC